AACCAGTGCCATTACCATTATCCGATTCTGAGGTGTCTGTCTGTTCGCTGAGTACTGCGCCAACTGAGTTGACACTTCAGCGAAGTATTCTGTTTGTGGGAAAGGCTGAAGAAGAAGAAGGAGAGGGTGAGTGTGTAGAATGTATACCGTCTGAAGGTGTCAGCGAGAGTGAAATCGATACGGAAAGTGAGTGTATTCGCAATCTTCAAGCTGATCCCTGCGCCATCGAAATTATCACCGTGAATAAAGAGTGTTGATTTGGTCTTTAATTTTCTTTTATTTCTTCTGATGCAAAAATATGTATACTTGCTACGTAATGCATGTTTGTATATACATACATACTTAATTTTGGAAAAAATGAAAATATTCATAAAACTTAACTTGACCATGGCCCTTTTTTGAGGAGCGTTCATGTACTTGTTGGAATATAGTTGTGCACTGGATCACAGATTTGTATTTGTTTTTGTTCACCAGATGCCACTATCCAATTCCTATGTAGAATTGCTCAGTGATTCCGAAAATCAAGTAAATTTTTTTCTATGGATAACTTTTCAAGATATTTGCAATTTACCGTCATTCAGCTTAAAAAATAGTAGTGGTTCCTTATATCATGATTTATATTATGAAAGCTAATGAAATTCTCAATACACCGTATACACATCACTTTTCGATAGGCCTGATTGTTTCTGAGAAATTAATTAATCATTCTAGATTTTTTTTTGGTGAAAAATGAAAAAAATTCAAACTTTACAAGGGAAAAATAAAAAACTTATATATATATTTTTTAATTTTTTATCTTATGTGAAAATTCAAGCTACTAATGAACAAAATCGATGAATAAATAAATAAAGAAGGAATGAGTGGTCAAATGAAAATGCACAAAGATTTCCTGTATGATATATGAGCAGAGAAGAGTGTTTCTCAGATGTACATGGCGTATGAGTAACATTACTTCCTGCTCATTTTTCATACAAAATAACGTTGTTTTTGTTGATGTATGTCTAGTGTGCTTTTTGTTTTTGTGTAGATACTAGCTAACGTTTTATTTGTTTTGTAGGCGAGAGTTATATTTTGCGCGGCCATAATTCCTTTTTGAGAATGCATCGAGCTGCAAATGTCGGAATCATCATTGTTTAAATACCGTTGTTTTCCAAAGAATTCTTCATTCTCATTCTTCCGGTTGTTTCAGAATTTAACATCATCAGCGTTTTTCGATTTTAATTTTTGTAATTCATTTTTAATCTTTTCTTATGTGACTGGTTTAAAAAATGTGTGCTTATAGCGAGGTTCTAAATAGGTGGATATGGCAAATAAATTGTTATTTTTTAGGAATGAAAATTTCGAAGAAAATTCTGCCGAATTACTTAAAAAGGCACCCCGTTTTTTTTATAATAACATTGGTTTACAGAAAAAATGTTCTATAGATGTCATATTTTTTTTTTTTTTTTTGGAAAACTTTTCGATATATTTGCAATTTACCGTTATT